CGGGTTCGGATGGTGAAAATGTGCGATTTCAATGCATTTTCGGCCTTAAAGCGGCCACCATTTGGCTATCGTTAATGGGATCATGAAACAAATGCACATACATATTTGTGACATGATGTACCTTGTGTGTGTGAAGTTTGAACTTGATCAATCCAGACATGTCTCGGATACGGATCCAGAACTGAATTCTTTAAAACAAAATGGCCGCCAGTCGGCCATTTCGAACTTGATCTGAAAAAAAAAATGACATGCATCAAGGTCCTATTATGTTTAATGTATGTACCAAATTTGAATGAAATCCGTCCATGCATAACTGAGATCTGGGTCCGGAATGGTGTAAATGTGCGATTTCAATGCATTTTCGGCCTTAAAATGGCCGCTATTCGGCTATCGTTAATCGGATCATGAAAAAAATGCATGTGCATATGTCCCATATAATGTGTGATGTATGAGTGAAGTTTGTACATAATCGGTCCATGCATGTTCGAGATACAGGTGATCACGGACGGACGCACGGACGGACGGACGGACGGACGGACGGACGGACGCACACAGGGCAAAACATAAGTCCCCGTTTTCGGACTCCGTCCGAACGGGGACTAAAAATATTTATTGTTATTACTGGTACGCGAAATAAGAATTAGTCCATCCCTCTTACTGACACTTGTTTTGACAACATCTATATACCCAAATAAATAAGAGTTTATATATTCAGATATTTAATAATGATTGGCATGAGTGCTCTATATTTGCTACGTCCCCAAACATCATGCAACTATGACAACCTGCATATTCAAATGAATAGAAAATGAAGAGCACTTCCTTCGTAATGTGGTCTTTATAAAAAAGAAAGAAATGAGCTTCTCAAAAATTAGCTGCTACCTTCCAAACTTTCTGACAAAGAAAAAATAGTTGCAATACAAAACAATGGTGGTAAAAAATTAGTTCCTCAAATTGATAAGTACATACATGATTGTTTTAAAATCTAAGAGAACAACTTGAAAAAGGTAATACCAGCTGCCTCAAAATAAATAAAAACATTTATTATAATTTACAGCGAAAATCTACCCAGCTCGACAGTTTGACGCGAGGCACGTGCAACTTCTTGTTTA